GGGCTTTATGCTGCCCTGCAAGGCTTTAAACCTGGGTTTGAATGGAGACAAAGCCATTCTAAAGCACATATCAAGGTGCTCTTTTTCAGCCTGGATCCTTATATATTTTGGATTCTGTTCATGTTGGAGAATCCTGCTTCACAGCAGCAGATTGCGTCAAACATAATCTAAATGTTCCGGCTCCGCTCCTATCCAGGCAGGTCAAGATCCGCTAGTGCAATCGGCATGTGGTAATTTATAAATGTTTTAAATCAGGTTGGGTCCGTTTTAGCCAGCAGGTGGGTCCAGATTCGAACAATGGCCCGCTAATCCGTGACCTCTGCTTTAAATCGAAGCCAAGAGTAATGAGTAACGTTTGTTTTGAAAATGTAAGGAATAGAAAGTACAGATACTTGTGTGAAAATGTAATGAGTAGTCAGTAGTAGGAGGAAAAATAAGTAATGGAGTAAAGTGTAGATACCAAAAAAGTGTACTTAAGTATAGTAACAAAGTATTTGTATTTCCTCACTTGACACCTCTGATAACGGGAACCCCGTATTCTTACTTGCTGTAATAGACAAAACTGGAAAATGTATCCTTGCCCAGCTAAGAATAAGAGGTGTCAGAAATGTAATAGAACTGGATATTTTGAAGTAGTCTACAAAACCAAAATACTAATGCAAGCCGGGCAAATACGGGATCAAGCTTTGGGTGGCGTGCAATGCCCGTTCCTGCTACGCCTGGAGGATGAGCGTGTACACGGGTTCCCTCTCGGGGCGCAAAGCTCCCACTGTGCACCCCGAGAGGGACCTGGGGATGCTGTAAGGGTCCTGTAGGCACGGCCTCACCCTAGTGGGCACCGTACACTGGAACAAGCCCGAGCTGCGACGCACCCTGACGGCACCCCGTTGCCTGGATCTCCTCTCCACCCGCTGCGCCTACAGAAGCTGCACGGTCCTCGTCTCCTACATACCCGGGCTGCAGGAACATGCTGCTGCTGAGCTTGCTGCACCGCAACAGGGTGGATGCCTCCCGTTGGAACCGCAAGCTGCTGCACAACAACGCCAACAAGGGGGGCATCAACAACCTCGACAAGCTCCTGGGCGTCTACAGCTGCCGGAGGATGACGCGCCACTTGACCATGGTTCTGTTTAACAACACCCTCATCATCTGGCGGGAGTCCCAACCGGAGTAGATGCCTTGCACATTGCCCAAGAGGAGGCTGTTCTGGAGGGCCTTGGGGGGCCCTGGTCTCCCCGCTGGTGCTGCGCAGGGCTCGCATGCCCCGCTCCCGGAATACGGTCGAGGGGGTCAGAGTGTGGTACACCGAGAGGCCCTCCTTAAAAAGAGTTGTCGCCTCTGCCCGCGCAGCAGGGATTGCAAAACCGCCTCGGTATGCTGTTGCGTGTGCAGGGAGCACGTCCCCACTCCCCCGGTTGCTGCGACATAAATGTTGCGCTCATCTACATCTCCACGCGTGAGGCCTTGTCCCCGGAAGGGTACCACCCTGCCCCCCTCCCACCGGACCTCCACCCCCCCATCCCCTCCAGGTCCTCTTATACATATGTCAATGAACTTCTAGGAGCAGCAGCAAAAGAAAAAGGACCCGTTCATAGCTTGGCTTGGTTTGGGCTAAGAACTTTAAGACTATACTGCTGGCTATTTGGAGTGACTACAGAAGAGGATCTCCATAGCCCAACCTCTGTGGCCACTATTGAGAAAGAACTTTAATTTACAAAGTGAAAAAGGCTGATTATGAACTGCACTGCCAGAAGTCTGGTCTTCCTTCATGAACACATTGATTGGAGAGCTATCCTGTAGATAGAGGTTCTACAAGTTGCATGAATCTTTATGGTTTTCTTTGACTATTCTTTTAGAATTAGAATTAGGAGGTCAGGCATTGATGCAGGCCAAAAAGACCTGAGTTGTAGTCTCCGCAGGTATCTCAGGGACTTTCCAAGAATACTTTACATCACAGAGTCAGACACTTTTTGGACCTGGTGATTTAAACCTGTTTAACGTAGCTCCCTACACACTTTTGTCAAGCTAATCTGAGGTCCACAGGAAGCTTGGAGCCATGTACACTTGAAATAAACAATTTAGAATAGTGACTCAATAGGCTTGGTATTAAATAAAATAAACTAAATAAACTTTGGATGACACACAAAGGATAAGAACAAAAAAGTCTTTTTTTTTTCTTTGTCAGAAAACGGAGGAGGAGGAGGAGGAGGAGGAGGACTTTGTTTCTTCCTTTGTCTATAAAGTTCAGACAAGTTTGGGAAAGAGATTCAGATGGTTGGGGGGCCAGCTGAGCTGTTTGTTCCTGTGAGGTAGAGGATGAACTTATCTTAACAACAACTTGAGGTGTTAGAGAAGCTCTCTTGCTCTATAAATGATGGTAGAATAATTTTTACAGAATGACGGTGAATTCTACTCTATCTTCTCTGTCTTATTTCATCCTTGAAGCGTACATTGACTTGGGAACGCTGCAATATTTTTACTTTGCGATCACTCTCACAGTGTATACTGCCATCGTTGTTGTCAACATCCTGCTTATTGTGTTGATCTGTCTGAACAGGACCTTACGTGAACCCATGTACATGTTTCTGTGCAGCCTTTTTATGAATGAAGTGTATGGCAGCTCGTCACTGTTTCCCTTCCTGCTGGTTCAGATCCTCTCTGATATCCATGCTGTTGCTGCTCCTTTCTGCTTCCTGCAGATCTTCTGCTTTTATTCCTATGTAAACATTGAGTTCTGTAATTTAGCGATCATGTCCTATGATAGATATTTGGCGATCTGCTGTCCTTTAAAGTACAACTCTGTGATGACCTTTAGCAGAGCGGGTCTGTTTGTTGTCTTGATTTGGTTGTACTCATCAGTCAGGTGTATCATCAACATTTGCCTGAGCCTCCGTCTAACACTTTGTGGGAATGTCCTCAGCAGTCTTTTTTGTCATAACTACCTGATAGTGAAGCTGGCATGTGTGGACACAGAACTGAACAACATTTTTGGACTTTTTTCCACAACTCTTAGCGTGCTGGTCCCCCTGCTGCCCATTATTTACTCCTATGCTAAAATCTTAAGTATCTGTTTCTCTGCTTCCTCCAAGATGAGACAGAAAGCTGCCAGCACGTGCATGCCTCACCTTGCTTCCCTCTTAAACTTTGCCTTCGGCTGCCTGTTTGAAATCCTTCAGACCAGATTCGACATGACCAGTGTTCCCAATGCGCTGCGGTTCTTTCTGTCTCTTTACTTTGGGATCCTGCAGCCTCTCTTAAATCCCATCATCTTTGGGATGCGGATGTCAAAAATACGTAACATCTTTAAAGATTTCCTTCATAAAAAAAAAACTGCTGATATTTTGAAATGTTGAAAATTAGGCTGTTCGGTCATTTAGAGAAGGGAAAAGTTGGGGAAAGAAACATCTTTTATTTCAAATCTCAGATTGAGATGAATGAGCTGAAGGAGGGACAGTTTGTGTAAAACAAACTACAACAATAAAAACCAACAAAGCAGCCGTCAGAGAGATGCTGTCAAAAGTTTTTGTTGGACGACAGAAATAAAGACTATATATTTCTGAGTTCAGGCCCCACTCCCACAGACTACCACTCTGGGTCCCTGAGCAAGACCCTTAACCCCTGATTGCTCTCTAGGCACCCCACGATGGCAGCCCACTGCTCCCCAATGGGATGGGTTAAAGGCAGAAGTAAATTTCTCCAATGTGAGTTCAATAAAGTACAATTATATTATTATTATATATTATAGTCTATTTACCAGTACAATGTAAATATTTTCTTTGTAAAATTAATATATTTCAGTGGCCTGCTTCCTTCCGGTGAACCAGTTGTGTGGTCAACAGCTGGCTCACTAAACAGAAATTTAAAAGGAAACTATAAGATTCTACAAAATTCCTCTCAGTTGAACATTTTCTAAAATTAGAGATTGCTATTTTTAACAACTGTAAAGTATTTTTCCTTCTGCTGTAAATTTGCCTTCTCTGTACAGTTTCTTTGTTTAATCATTTTACACTTCTGCTTCCTTTGC